GGTAAATTTAGATGGAGCATAACTAATTATTGTATGTATTTTCTAATCAGTTTTAAGTACACGTACTTATCTACAATTTAACAATAATAATTACACATTTATAAAAATCAAGAGTCCTTCCTCTTAGTATTGTTAAACCACAGGATGAAAAGTCGTGTTAGTAACGGTGTGGTGTTATGTTCAAAAATCAAACAAATTCTTAGAAGGTCTCTTTAATTTTTTTTTATATCGGATATTATTACATCCTCGGCCTAAATTTGTAGACAAGGGTTCCCTAATTTGAATCTTCTCTTGAACTGAACTTTTTTGGCATTAGTAAACTATTAATTTTGTAGTTAAATTTTAGGGTTCGTGAAAAATATGCCTTGAATTTCAATAATTGTTTAGAGAACATTTTTTTGTCTTCATTAATTTCAGATTTAGGTTCAAAAGATTTCCTGTACTTTATTTTTATATTTCAGTGTCTTACAATCAAAGAAAGATTCATTTAGGCAACTCTGCCTCCTATCATTTACATAACATTTATTTAGAATATTTTGATCTAATTAAATATATTAAATATTAATACATTAGATTATAATTATATAAAAATTGGTGTAATATTCACGTACTATGAATTAGTAGGTAAAGAGTGAAATATGTACAAGTTTGTGATGGACGATTCAATTCCAAAATGTTCAGTTTTAATAACAATTTTCGAGGTAACTACCTACCTCTGCAAATGAAAGGAATAAATTTATTATTTCGTAAATAGGTAACTCTTGATTAAAATCCCATGATTTATTTATTTCATTTAAATATAAATCTTCCATGCTACACCTTTTTTGAAAGGTCTTATCAATAAGATTAATTAATTGAGATTTGTGTACTGTCGAAAAATGTATTTATAAAATTACAGAAAATTAATAAAAATATTACTTACATAAAAATGTTTGGCAAGGGCCGTCAGATAGTTTTTAATCCCTTTTTTTTTAGTTTCTTACCTATTTTCTATTTTTTATGAAATGTAATTTACCTTATCAAGACTGGACTTTTCTTTTAAAAAGTGTTTATATTTATACCACCATAAAGTATTTTATTTGAAATTCGTCAGTTGGAACATTTGTTGTTAAATAAATGTGATTATAATGTTATAAGTAACAATAATGAATATTTTGACAGTACACTTAATTGCTTAAACTAATTGCTATGATTGAATAGACAATTACAAGAACTTTCATATTATATTAAAAAAATAATCGATGACGTCATCATGCTCACAAAGATGACGGTTGTGTATAAAAATATCTCGCAGGTACCGATTTATCAAATAATGAATTTATTTCTTTTATTTGCACCATACTGTATATACAGTGTCACCATTAAAATTCGCAGTATATAGGATTTTTTTATCGAAAATAATTAAAAATGATGTTAACGTTCCTTTTATGAATCAGATATGCTTGTCAAATTTGACATATTCTCAAAAATAAATAAAATAATTTAGGTTATTTCAAGAAAAGTTGAATGAAAAAGTTATTTAATTTGAGTTTCTTTGCCAGATAATTAATAATTATGTGTGTGCCAATTTAAATCCTAATCAATAAATACTCCTAAAAGTTTATTATATTAAGCGACATTAGCATTTGGCTTATAAATAATATTCTGTTTTCTTCGATTTGCATCACCAAATTTGTTTTTAGCCTCTTAGTCATTTAAAGAGACTGAACAATTATCAAACTTTATTATAGTGGTGTCGTCTACAAATTATTTCGGCTCGAATGTGGCATCATTAATAAAAATTAAAAAAAAATCAGTCCACTAATCGATCCTTGAGGCACACTAACATTAATTGAAAATGTACTTAAAATATCACCTGATGGAAAAACAACTACGTGTTATTTCCATAAAATTCTTACTTCCTTCTGCTTCTTTTTAACTACCAAATTTAAAAGACTTCTTTGATTCTTTTCACTTTCTCTTAACTTCGCACATTTGGAATTTTTAAAATCTGAAAATACCAATTAAAATGTAATAAACTCATCTGCCGAAGTGTTTCTTTTTATTTAAAAATGTTTCCAATTAGATATACAGGGTGTTTCTAAATTCATGCGACAAAATTCGTGATTGCTCGTATGAAATTAAGATGGGTCTTTCCCATAACAAAATTTCCTCAGCCCACCCCTTTCCTAGATATCACCCTTAAAAAGTGGTTACTAAAATTGAGTTTTTATTTTTTTTCTCTAAAATTTCAGTAAAGCTAGAAACTTGAAATTCTGTAATTTTCGTGCACTCGCCAAGGACTAATCACGAGTATTTTTTCAATATTCCTGTTACATTATAGGGGGGTGAAATTAGCAACCCTTACTTTATTTCATATCAAAACTTTTTTTGGAGATGAAGTTTTGTGAAATAAAATTATAACTTGAAATCCTTGTTTAATTTAAAAAAAAATTATTCTTATATTTGTTTTCCAAAACCAATAGCTTCAGAGAAAAAAATAAACACCATAATCTATAATTTTTTTAATAAATTGAGTGGAAAACAGTAAAGATGTAAAATGTAATACGATTCATAATATTAAAAAAATACCCGTGGTTAGTCCTTTGCGAGTGCACAAAAATTACAAAATTTCAAGTTTCTAGCTTTACTGAAATTTTAGAAAAAAAATAAAAACTCAATTTTAGTCACCACCTTTTAAGGGTATCTCGGAAAAGGGTGGGCTGAGGAAATTTTGTTATAGGAAAGACCCATCTTAATTTCATACGAGCAATCACCTCCTGAATTTTGTCGCATGAATTTAGAAACACCCTGTATATAAAAAAAACACACAAATATGCTGAAAAAATTATGTCATACTTAATGAAAAGTGGCTCTAGTTTCAATATTTCATAGTAAAAATTACTTTATTTATTTTTATTTTAGTTCTACATGGCATTTCATTTAAGAACTTCCATAAATTTGAATTTTCAAATCTTTCTTCCAATTAATAGACCAATCGAAATTTTTGGAATTAACTTCTTGTAATTATTTTGAAATTATGTCGAATTTGACAGGTATAACCAATCTACAGAAAAATCGACAACGTCATTTTCTATTATTTTCGTAGCAAAAACTCTAAATTTGACTAAACTAAATAATTTTAAAAAAGTCCCATATTATGCTGACACTGTATATAAATATCTACCAATATCGACAATAATTTTTATTAAAAACAAATATCAAATCAATTATTCGTCTTCAAATCTGATTAAATTCTGAAAACCTTTCTGAATGCCAGTGCAGCATAGATATTAGAGTGGTTGGGCCTGGGAAAATTTTGTCCAGCGTGAGAAAATTTTGCTGAAAATTTCTGGCATCATTAGAAAACCAATTAAAATCGTTCATTTTGATCTCTTTCGTTTGGAAACTATTTATACAATTTTATAAAATTATAAAATATTGGATTGGACAGTAAATATGAGAAAAAAAGATGTTACCTACTTAAAGAATGTACAGTCAACACTTTATGGAATGTACAGTTAAGACTTTATGGACTGTAATTAGTAAGTTACTTTTTATTAAATAAATGAGTTAAAATATGCCTTTTAACCGAATTCCCCTCGGCCAGTGATAAATACTTATAAATACTCATAAATACTCATAAGTACTCATAAATACTCATAAATACTCATAAATACTCATAAATACTCATAAATACTCATAAATACTCATAAATACTCATAAATACTCATAAATACTCATAAATACTCATAAATACTCATAAATACTCATAAATACTCATAAATACTCATAAATACTCTATAAATACTCATAAATACTCATAAATACTCATAAATACTCATAAATACTCATAAATACTCATAAATACTCATAAATACTCATAAATGCTCATAAATACTCATAAATACTCATAAATACTCATAAATACTCATAAATACTCATAAATACTCATAAATACTCATAAATACTCATAAATACTCATAAATACTCATAAATACTCATAAATACTCATAAATACTCATAAATACTCATAAATACTCATAAATACTCATAAATACTCATAAATACTCATAAATACTCATAAATACTCATAAATACTCATAAATACTCATAAATACTCATAAATACTCAAATACTCATAAATACTCATAAATACTCATAAATACTCATAAATACTCATAAATACTCATAAATACTCATAAATACTCATAAATACTCATAAATACTCATAAATACTCATAAATACTCATAAATACTCATAAATACTCATAAATACTCATAAATACTCATAAATACTCATAAATACTCATAAATACTCATAAATACTCATAAATACTCATAAATACTCATAAATACTCATAAATACTCATAAATACTCATAAATACTCATAAATACTCATAAATACTCATAAATACTCATAAATACTCATAAATACTCATAAATACTCATAAATACTCATAAATACTCATAAATACTCATAAATACTCATAAATACTCATAAATACTCATAAATACTCATAAATACTCATAAATACTCATAAATACTCATAAATACTCATAAATACTCATAAATACTCATAAATACTCATAAATACTCATAAATACTCATAAATACTCATAAATACTCATAAATACTCATAAATACTCATAAATACTCATAAATACCCATAAATACTCATAAATACTCATAAATACTCATAAATACTCATAAGTACTCATAAGTACTCATAAATACTCATAAATACTCATAAATACGCATAAATACTCATAAATACTCATAAATACTCATAAATACTCATAAATACTCATAAATACTCATAAATACTCATAAATACTCATAAATACTCATAAATACTCATAAATACTCATAAATACTCATAAATACTCATAAATACTCATAAATACTCATAAATACTCATAAATACTCATAAATACTTATAAATACTTATAAATACTCATAAATATTTATAAATACTCATACTCATAAATACTCATACCCATAAATACTCATACCCATAAATACTCAGAAATATTCATACTAATAGATACTCATAAATATAAATACTCAAAATCACATATCAATCAGTACCATCACTATTTAATATTTGTTGGTTTAGCGAGGGAAAGTACAATCAAGTATGCTTTAGGTAGTTGGCCCGGGTCAATTGCCAAAATATTCAGCAAAATTTACCTACGCTCAAAAATATTTTCCCAGACCCAACCGCCTCAATACCTACTTTCCTCATCCACGTTTGATCAAGATTACCACCAGGCTCCCACCTTGGCCCCTTATTATTTTTCTTGTTCATTAATGACTTTAATCGTCGCAGATGATTCTTCCAAGTTTTATTGGCTCTTCCTGCTTTACTCAACTTCTCCATTATGTACATATTGGTTAAGAAACGCAATTTAATTATCATACAATATGGTAGATATAGTTATCGAGGTATATATTAAAAAATATTTATGTACCTCTATTTAATAATAATAATAATAATAATAGACTCCCAACACAAACATGAATGGACCAAATATGTATATGCATATTAGTTACTATTTAAAAACCTAAGGATTCTTGAAAAAATGTGTTTGTAATTTTATAAATACAAGTGCAATCTGTACTTTGCAATGTATAGTTTATTTATTCAAACAAATTATCCGAGTAATTAATTAATGAATAAATTGAAAATAAAATTTACTGCTAGATAACTTCACATTAGTTAATCGTTAAAAATGAGACTTTGTTGAGTTAGAAAACGGGGCTTAAAACAGCGGATGTACTTCTATTATCCTACAAAGACAATGGAAAAGAAATGTATCGCTCCATCATTTGTCATCTCTAAGATATGTTCTATCAAGGATCGTTCATTTCACTAGCTCTGTATCAATTCCATTGTTTTGTACTTTATGAAACGAATGAAAATATTCCATTTAAGTTATGTCTAAAGATACATTTTTGCTCCAATCCAATTTTTATTGTAAAATCCTGGGAGATCATTTGCAAAGAACATTGTTCAATTTTTGATTTTTCGTTTTATATCTATCTACAAATGTGGTATCGAATCAGATTGTCCTAAATATTTAGTAAACAACAAATTAAATTTAAAAAATAGAAAAGTAAAGTAATTCGCTTCTTAAAAACACTATTTATATATTTTGGCAAATGGTTTATTAGTGTCACTCAAGACTGTCCTAAATAAACGAATTGTAGAAAAATACAAGCAATAACTGCAAGTACATAATGTTTTTACTTAAGTACCAGGCACTTGCAGGACTCACTTCAAGTAAAAATACAAAACTTTGAACTATTTACTATTTCAAGAATTCAATATACCTACACTTGAAATGTATTACTTACAAAGTTTTTATAAAAATAATCTTACATGACTTGTTCTGGTACTTACTTGACCTACAAAATTCTTCTGCTTAGACTAGTTTATTGTACTTGGATCCATTTACTATCCTAGAAATGTTAAAATATTGTTCAATTTAAAAACAAAAATAATATTTACCAGTAAATACTACTACCAATTCCATTAGTAAAAATTAATTGAAGTTATAGGTACTTGAAGTAACAAAGATACTTAAAATAACAGTAGATTTTTGTAGCGAAATCAAAGATACATAAAAGCTGTAATGTGTACAGAACATTGTATTGACCAATTCAAGGCAACATTATTTAATGCACTATTGGCACTTATCTTCTTTTTCCATAATTCGTTTATTATTTAGCATTAAATGAAGTACAGTATAAGTTCTTTTCCTGGATTTCCGTCCAGTTCTTAGAACTTATAAGCCGTATATAATTTAATATTCCAATGTCTAATATATTTTTTGATTCGTACATTTATAATAAAACATTCTTCCGGAAACGTGGATAGAACATTTTTGACATTGAAATACAACAAAAATAGTAATAAAATGGAATGTAAAATCCAGAAAAAAAGCTTTAGTGGAAGATTCACTTTTATTTTTAACATTTTTTAAATTAAAATCAAAAACTGTAAAATCTGGTACCTCCTATACTGTTAACTCTACTAAGAAAACCATTATCTTCTTCTTTCTCATATCCTTTTGCATCGGATTGGGATCCGTTATCTTTCTGTGTTCATTTCTTCCATTCTTTCCTGTTCCTGGCTAGTGTTTTCCCTTGTACCAAAGTTTTATCCATATCAATTCAGATATCTTCAATCCGGTTAATAAATTTCCTTCTGGGCCTTCCTCTTTGCCTTCTTGAGTTAACTATTTCCATTACGTTTCTCGCTATTATGTCTGGTGTTATTTTTACTAGGTGACCATACCAGTTTAATCGTTTCTTTTTGATCTTTGTTATTATTGGTTCCTGTTTAGTTATTCATATCTTCATTCCTTATTCTATCCTATTTACTTTTCTCAACTATTTCATTTCCATTGCATCATTGCATTTATTGAACATACCCAAAAAGTTATTTTTCCTTTCTCATTCTAAAAATTTTCCAATCTATCTTTATATTTAGTAACAGATAAAAGTGAACACTTCCTACAGTAACTTTCGTTATATTATACGAACCTATTAAATCAAAATAGAAATGAAAGAAAGATAGCCATAACAACACAGAAATTAGGCCGGTAATATAATAATACTATATGTAAATTAGAATGTGATGATATGTCTTAGAAGGAGGCTTCGACCAAATAAGTTCCATCTAAGCCGCTTCCTGTTTGATTGGTTTGGGCTGCAGAAGCGGCTGGCATGTATTTGCCACAGGTCTGTTGATACCTCCTGGGGCAGCATCGACCGCAACAGGATTGCAGTAGACCCATTGATACTGTCGAATGGGCTGGGCTAGCCATCGGAGACGGAGATCCTGGTCTTTTGGGATGCCCATTATAAGGCACCTGCAGATTTAAACGTAATACTTTAAAATTGTTAAAATAGAATTTATCTTCGAAAAAGAAATTAAATTAAACTTTAATACCCACCATGACTATTTTATAAACTAATATAGAAAAATATTTAGAAATGTAATCAGAATCTTAAAAGACACCTATTATAAATATAAACAATTATTTAAATGTAATCAGAGATACTTAGAAAATTGTTAATGAACTTAGAGGTAAGCATAATGAAAATAAACCACCACCATTAGATCCTAATAACTTAAATCACTATTATTGTAATATTGCTGATTCTTTAAATGTAAACCCAATGGGTTATTTACACACTACCAACCCACCTTTAAACTTTGTTCTAACTGAAAATAACGTGAGGAAACTAAAGGAGACATTTGAACTAATAAAAAATAAATATTCCTCTGGATGTGATGAAATATCTTTCAAAATTTAAAAAATTTACCATACACTGCGTTGTTTCACATTAGATATATGTTGTAACTCTAGAATTAATTTTAGAAGAGATTGAGAGAATTCGAAATTGGATATATTTTGATATATTTCAAAATTGACAATCGACTGATGTGGACTTACTGATGAATGTTGTCGAAGCCGTTCGATAAGAGCCTGTTGATTTGCCTGAATTGCGGCCAAAAATTGTTTAAACTGCTCTGAATTCATAATTTCGATTGGATTTCAGGGGTCTGGAGAGCTTCGGTAAATTTTGTTTTTTTTTTTTAATATCAGTGATTTGCCTACGTCGCCAATCTGTTTGGGATTTGAAAACAGCAAAGAATGTTCACTTTGTGTGGATTGAATCTAATCTAAGACATGCAATACAGTTTTGGAGAGTATGCAGCAAAGAACTGCCTCATTGTACATTTGTTCTCCAAAAACGGGCAAAATGCTCTCTCTCTTGCAAGCCACTCTTTAAAACTCATCAAATTTTAACGCTAACGTTACTTTCTATTTTAGAATCAGCCAGCTTAATATATAAAAACAAAGATGCCTATGCAAATAATAATAGTTCTGCTAGATTTTCTGGAAATTTGGCTTTGATTATACTTAAATCTACCTTAGTCAAAGAATCAGTAATTTACAATCACATTCAAATTTTTAATTTTTTATCCTTACCTCTTAGAAACTTGAACACTTTAGTAATTTCAGAAAATATCTACTTAGTAGACAAACCATACTATGATTTGGTTGAATTTTATCAATATAAACTTATTAGTTCATTCTATGAGTTTTATATTAGTTATAAATAATTTATTTTGGTTCTATTTTTAAACTTTTAACTTTTTTTAAATTTATTATATTTCCTGTGTTTGTCTATAAGATAATGTATCTTTGATAATAAACTATATTCTCTCTCTCACCTCAAGTTCTACGAACTCTCTGTCGGTAGTCTTCTCCAAACAGCGCAGCAAATGGTGATGTTGTAATTCGAAGATATCCTCTTCTCTGTAATTGTCATCCAATTCGATGCCTGACTCTTGAGCAGCTAAACGCGCTTCTGCTGCCTTCTTTTTACTCACGAACGCCGCACCAGAAGAAGCTTTGGCGATGCGAATTCTGGCCAAACGCGCTTTCTAAAATAATTAACATTTTAGTAAACACTAATAAATAATTAATAGATTCAATTAAATAACAAAAGAAGTAGTACTGGAAGGTGAAGATGAAGAATACAATTAGGTGTGGATATGTTACTTCAAAGATCTATTAATTCGATCCGGAGTCGGAAGATAAAATGGTAGAAGAAGAGGAAACGAAAGAAATGTACATAATAGCTCATCCAGTAAGAGAAGAGATGAAAAAATTTACTGGGAAAAAATGCAAATGGAAAGTCACCCTCAAAAGTAGGAATTAACATTGAATTGAAAGAAAGACTATTATTTCTAATTCAGAAAATCTGGAAGGAGAAAAAAATGCTGAGAGAGGAATAGAAGAGGTGATACGATACATCAAAATGGTGACCAACAAATATGTCAAAATTAGAGCGGATTGACACTTCTTAATACGAAACGACAAAAAAGGTTATAGGACAGTATCAATGTGGATTCACACATGGTAAAAATAGATGCATTTCATATAATGAAACAAATGAAAAAAGTATATGAGCATAAAATATAAATAAATGTTTTTTATTCACTTTAAACAAGCTGGTCCTACAAAAATTAGGAATACCAAAAAAAGTTAAGGCGGTCAATAACAATGACGATATAAGAAACAAAAATTAACATTAAAGCACAAAAAAGGAGGAACTGAAGAAATCACAATTAATAAAGGAGATTCGCTATAAACCGTTCAACCTCTCACTAGAATATGTGACGACAAAAATTAATAAAGAGACCTGAAAACAGAGGAAAGACAAGTCATTGCATATGCAAAAGATATAGTGGTAATTACAAAAACAACGAAATTGTAGAACAAGGAAAAATTAAGGGACTAGAGCTAAACCAAGAAAAAACAAAAATTATGCGATTAGATATTAAAACAGCATTAAAAAATTTTCAATAGGAAACATTAATTCGAAGAAGTAGAAACATTTTAAAATCTGGAAGAGTTAGAACTGGAGAACTGGACACAGGGAACTTGAAATAATAGAAAAAAAGTCACTACAAATAAAGCCTGCCGCGCAAAGAAAAATTTATTTAAAAGCAAATTACTCAAAAAGGAACCAAAATTAAGATATATAAAACAATAATCAGACCAGTATTACTGTACGCAGCAGAAATAATGAAAAAATGAAGAAAAAAAGAGGAAGAAGAATTATGGAAAAAAAATTAGGACCATTAAAATCACAAATGAAGGAATTAAGAGAACAAATACACCATCCACAGAGCGAACAGCGGCTTAGCCCCACTAGGGGTGTTTTGACCACTATATTGGATATATTAATAAGCATCTACATAAGAGGGCAACAATGAATAATGTTTGTTGTTTAAAAAATAATGAGAAACAGATCAATGATGTGATACTAATTTATTAAGTTACTAAGTTATTTTTTTGTTGATGTTTATCAGTTTTATTTTTTCGTTATGTTATTGTAATAAAAACGTTAGATATTAACATCTATATCTCTTTTTTTTAATTAATATTACTATCAGCAACTGTTTTGTTTTATTCGGCCCTCCAAAAAAAGTTTGCCCATGTCTGGAGTAAAAAATTTAATTACGATTTGCAAATAAAAAACAATTCTTACCCTCTGTGCTTTTCGTTTATCAGCTCTTTGGTTTTGATGATAAATTCTACTAAAATTAGAAACAATGACTGGTACTGGAAGAGCGATTACCAGTACTCCACTTAGTGAACAAACTCCACCTACAATTTTCCCCGCTATTGTCGCTGGCACCATATCTCCGTATCTGAAATAAAATATACGCTTAATTATCCATTGTTAATAAAACAATTATATTAATCATAATGAAATCACTGGCCTGTGTGGTAGTGTCATCCAGCGCCTAGTCACAATAGGCGCCACAGGCGCCCTCTTAATCCTATTATTTTATTGCCGAATTTATTTCTATATATATAGAAGGTGGCGCCTATTGTGATTAAATTTTCATGTATGTATAAATGAAAATTTAATTTTCGCTGAGATTTTTGTGAAAATTTCAAAAAATTATCAACAGATCAGCTGATTGATTTCATATTTTGTTAAAAACACGAGCCTGTCAAAGTTTCCCAATGTGCATACCGCACTATTAATATTTTTAACTCTGCCTGTAACTTCCGCTTCTGCTTAGCGATCATTCTCCAAACTGAAACTTAAGATTTTTTTAAGAAAAGTATTAGTCACGAACGTTTAAGTAGTCCGGCTATTCAAAGCATGGAAAATAAGTGCGCAAAATAAATAAACTTTGATAAAATAATTGACGTTTTTGCAAGCATTAAAAACCGCCAAAAGCTTTTTTGAATATATACAATGAGTTCATAAAGTGTTGATTATTTTTGGAGGTCGAGCTCTGACAATTTTAGTTCTCTACTTTTTTCAAAAATAGTTATTTTCCTAACAAGTGCGGAAAGTGTTACTTTCCCGCACGCGACTGCAGTTGGCCCGAACGACGCGAAGCGGAGTTCGGGCAAGCGGTCAATTGCGGGAAAGACACTTTACGCATGAGTTAGGAACATTATTTTTTCTACGACCGTATATACAAAAAAGTAGGAAAAATTATTTTTGGAAAATTATTTTATTTCAACATATACAAATCTTTAAATAAAAACAACTAATTATTATGGATATTAATGTTAAATACACAATTTGTAGAATTTTGTAAATTAGGTAAAATTGCCGGTACAGAGGAATTAGTTGGTGTTAATTGGCTGTTAATAGTCGTAACGCTCGTAGATTGAAAAGATGACGTGGACGGGAGTGACATCGGTTGCAGGTCGCATGAAGGTGAAAATGACGGTGGCAGCAAAGGTTGCAAGTCATTTCTGTTTGAAAGAATTTTATTCGAAATGTTTTTCTTCTGTGTTTCGGAGTCCTCCAAATAGCCTTCAGCGATAGTAGTGGACTTCCAGCCACCGAGACGTTTTATATTGGTTATCGCTTCACCTAAGTCTGCTAGGAATGTTGCTGAAGAACGTCTAAAACTGTGTCCTGTATATCGTTCAGGATTAGGTAGACGCAAATATGCAGCAATCTCTGTTGGCATCTTACCAAAGGTGTTTACGCCAACGCACTGAATTGAGCATTTTCCCTTCTTATAATTAATAAAAAAAGCGGCGATGCGGAGTGGTAGGTGGTCGTAAACCTGCGTACTTTCTGTACAGCTTCAGAAAGTTTCCATTATTTATTTCTTCACATAAAACAAATGATCTTGAAGATTGATTTTTGGAATCGGAAATTTTCACAACTATCAGATTGCCTTTATCTTGTATATCATCGAGAGTGATATTTACAAGCTCCGCTCTGCGGAGAACACCAGCTAAAGCAAAAATGGTACTCACTTTAATCATAAGGTATACCTCATCAGGGGCTAACATAAACCTGGATATATCTTCTTTGGTAAAAACCTGCGCCTTCTGTGCTCGAAAACCAACATTTTTTTGTTTTAGAAATGACGTTAACTTATGGGACTGGCTTATATCCAAATTTTGTTTTATTTTTACTAAACTTTTCACCATCGAATAGCGAGACCATGTATTAGAATTCAAAAACTTACTTAGGTGCGAAAAATACGCCAGAAACACCTCTTCTTTGTAGGTTTTTACCCCTTCCTGTTTACACCATGTGACAAAATGGTCGTATTGTTTTTCATATCTTCCTCGTGATTTGGCAGGTAACACCTCCAAATGTGCTTCATTTGCAGCTTTTAAAATGGCTTCGGGCAGCTCTTCATCCGATGAATCCATTATTTCTTTAATTTATTTTAATTCAGTTGACGCTTCAACAAACAACTTTGACGTTTTTGTAACAATAACACGCCTTGGTTACCATATAGCAACCATATCAAGCCATACATGTCACAGCCTAGTCTGACTTTTAAAAATATACAGAAGGTATATAAAAATATCTCTATTATTCAAGTTTTCCAAAAAATTAAAATTATAACAAAAAGCAAGAAAAAAAGTAAATTTTATTAAATGGAATAGTTGGAAAATACTAAATTACCTATTGTAACAATAGTTATAACATCCGAGGTAAAAAAACTATACAATAGGTAAGGCCAAATATTCATAATTTTACTTTCCCGCACTAGTGCGGGAAAGTGATTTTTTCCCGCATTAGTGCGGGAAAGTGACACTTTCAAAACTAAAATGCGTGCGGGAAAGTGGGTAAAAATACACGGTCGTAGAAAAAAGAATTATTACCCCCAATACTTTACATGATATGACGTCATAGAATTTTTTTTTAATTAAAGGAGTATATTATTATATCAAAAAACCATATCAGATACGTCATATATAGGTACCACTCTAAGTTACAGTATACTGAGTATACCAGTAATACTCAAATTTTCATTCCAAAATAAATGAAATAAATGTTAAATATGAGCACTGATGATTTCCTTTATAGTTACTTTTGTGATGGTCGGTATCATTATCTTCTTTAATATTTTGTACTCAACTCTTTATCATCTTTTTGGCCTGATGATGACTTTTAAACCGGTTGCCTATTTTTTTTTTAATATTATTATTGTGTGGTACAGATTTTGTGTTTTCTTTCTCATGTTTGTCTTTTTATTTGGAAGTCGATTGATGATTTCGTCCATATAATAAATCTAAACCCTTAAGGCATGGTAGATCTTGGATAAGTTTTTAAATATGCTCATCTTTTTTAAAAGCCTAAGAGTGGAGATTTCTTTCTGCAGTTGCTACAGAAATTGTAAATGTAAGTACAAAGAATTTTACTTAAAAGATAATTACTGAAACCAACAGCTGATTTAATTTACATAAAATTCAAAAAGTACATTAAACAAACATTAACACCAAACCCATTGATACTATCATATTTTAGAAGAATTTTGTACAAAATGAGCATTTTACTATTTGATATTTAGTTACGCCATCTAGCGCTCTAAAGAAGCAGTAATATAAACGATTCTCGACATGCGGCCGGAAGCCACCCGGTACCTAATGTCAAATAGTAACTATAAACAATAATTATTTGTTTTAAGAATTGAATTTCTAACAAAGTAATTGAAGTGGGATTTAATGAATATGAAAAATTCTGTGAATAAGTGTGAAGCTTCAAAAACCCTTCATCCATAATTACAGTCTTTACAATTTTTAGTTCGACTTGATTTAACTCCAACATTTTTAAAACGCCTGAGTAATTAAAAGAAGACACTATATAAAATGAGATAAAGATAGATGGATAATGCATATTGCATAATAATGCATACTAGGTGTAGCTATTCATATTTCTCTTACGGAATTTATAGAAAATTGGATGAAAAGAAAATAAAATTATTCACATAGAGAGAATATTAGAAGAATACTGTCATACGAACTATTTTCGACCAGTCCGCTCCTGTTCTAATCCCCTAAGTATCTCTCTTTCGTGTCTTTGGGCCTTTTACGGCCTCCAGTTTCCTGTTACCAAGAATATTCGATGAAGTGAGTTAACCTCCGAAGCTCCCCCACATGTTTCACATGTGGACATCACCTAGTCGAAGTGAATAATTTATTCTAGAAAATACTGGACCCGTGACGAAACATCTCAAAACAACGATTCTGGCGGATGCACCAATCTATGAAATGGCTTTTCGCCGATATAAGTTCTTAGGTGACAGCAAATCTGGAATGTTCGAGAAACACCACATGGGCGATTCTCGCGTAACTGCGATTTTTACAACTTAAATTTTTCTTGTATTAAAAATGTTTTAAAACCTATGTTTTACGCGTTTTTGTTTTCTATTTATGCACAGAAATAGGCCTGTAAAGTGGTTCTACTATAGCTAAAACACAACGAAAACTGTGACAAAATTTCAAAATTTTAATGCCACTGTACCGACATTATTTCCACGGTACTGACATAAATGATTATTGTTTTTTACCAATCGAAAGATTGGTATAAAATTGCAATAAAATTTAATGCAGTATGCATTAGATTGTAGTTATATGAGGTACATTTTATATTAAAAAATTAATTTGGCAGAAATTGATAAATTTAATTTCAAAAATGAGAATCGGACATGCCACGATACTGATATTTCGAGTATAGTTATATGCAGCTTAAAAAAAAATTGCGAATGTTTATGATCTAATTCATAATGTCGGTTGTAAAATGCTTCTAAATTTATAATATTAATAACTTTTTGATGAGGAAAACTTATGCTAAACGATAAATAATATAATGGACATAAAAAATTACAGTTATCCGAGAATCACCCACATATAAATATGAATAGCACAAGTTTGCCATTATAGTTGTTTTACATATCGTGCTTTTACATAAATATTGTTATTGTAAATTAGTATACAAGTAAATGAGATATAAATTAGTGTTATATTTAGTATAAATTGAGTTAATAAATAAATTAGTGTTTTAGTGAAAATAAATTAAATAAAAAATTGTTTAAATAAATAAACGCTATATTGGTGTCAAAGTTAAGTCTTCCACAAACAAATACTAGGCGACAAAAAAAAACATGATTTGAGTGGATTTGAATTCCATTGTTTAAAAAAGTAGAGGGGTAAAAGGGGTGCGAAACCCTTCTAAAACCCTATAGAATTAAAACTATTTTAAACGCCACTAACATCCTAACTACATTTTCATACAAATATTTTAAGCCGTTTTAGAGTAAGAGCAAAAAATCCCCTCTAAAATGTTTACACTAACACGCTGTAATTTTTTACTATCAATTTTTTATGTAAGCAAGTTTGGCTTGAATCGACTTATTTTCGAACCTAGAAA